GCAGGTCGACTTTGTGCTTTCGCCGGAGGAGTATGTGTTGCAACCATGAAGGTGTTCAAGACCGGACACACGTGTGCCAATCGGCTTATCACAAAGAGTCCAGCCACGGCAACGGTGTTTCATGAACCAGGCGAATGATGCCGGGTCCTTCACGTCATCAGTCTTGTTCTTCGTGCTAGCAATCGCCTCGGGGTTGATCAGGGAGAGGGAGGAGATGTGGGGCGACCAGAAACTCCCTAGGGACCATGTCAGTAAGCAATCGCTAACTATGTTATGGAGTCAGACACTTACATTGATTCTTCAGGTATGTCATGGCAGCATGGCCGCCCTCAGACATGCCAATGATGTCGATTCTAGCGCCGACTCGGAAGTTGCCGCGCATCAAGACTTGATGGAAAATATCCTCGACATGCTCACCGATGGAGCCGTTGCCAATCACGTTACGAGCACCCAGTGGACGTTCGCGTTCCACGGCAGAGCTGCGGTGTTGACCATGGACACTATCGGCAGTCATGGCGAACCAACCTGAATTGTGCCAGACGGTCTGGCCGGCGTTCGCAAGGATGAGGGCATTGGGCGAATCTTGGGAATCATCACCGAGCAGACTCTTTGCAAAGCCCAGGATCGAACCGAAAGAAATGCCGTCGTCGCAAGCGTCACGGTACGAGAAGACACCTAGGTCTTCAACGATCTCGCCGAAGAAGACAACAACTCGAGGTGCAGTGATCACGTTGCCCGAGACCAGGATGGGGACCTGTCGCTTACTGCCCTTGGGAATTTTCATAAAATGCATTCCCATTCCCAGGAGCCGGTCGATGATGCAGGTTCGGATCGCCTCTGTGAAGTTGTTAGCACCAAATGATCCATGAAACCAATCGCCTACGATGGAGATGGATCTGAGGACTAGCTAACTATGGAGGGCCTCAATGTGGACCTTGTTCATGCGGTCACTTCGATTGACCTTGTAACGAGGGCCTTGGTCCGGGGCGGCGATGTACCGGATCTTGTCATCTTTGGTGATGACGAATCTGTGTCATTCAATGGACTGTTAGACCACAAGCCTGAGATGTCACATTGAAAACTATGGGAAAACTCACCCAAGCCCTAGCAGGTCTTCAGCGCAGACGATGTCATCGGGGAGGAGGTCTCTCGGAACGCCGTTCATTGTGGTGAGGCTTCGAATCAACGTGGGATATTGAGTTGAGAAGAAAGTCAAAGAGACAAAAGGGGAAGATGAGTGATGGGTAAAAGGAAGAGGAAGAAGAAAAATGAAAGGAACAGGGGAGTATCACACGAGCAAACCCGGAACCGCGATTTTCCAACGCGATTTTCCAACGCGATTTTCCAACGGGGCAACAGTCAGTGACGGTGTGATAAGTATGGCAGGCATCGACAAGTTCCTATCTGCTCAATGACCCACGATGATGCGTCCCTGAACAGGCTACGCCGAAGAATCTTCTTGATAGACGTCGCTGGGCTGATATGATGAGATTACAGCTCAAGTATCAGTCAGGATAGCCAGGCTGATCTGCAACTGATCCTCATGACGGAAGCAAACAACCCAATTGAGATGATCTCAGCACTAAACAAAGAAAGCCTGATCTCACGGCATCAGCAAACGAGGACCAGGCCCAAAGCGATGCCTGGACTGTCATTACGAACATGTCGAGAGCAGTGGAGTTTGGTCGGAGGAACTAAAACGACAAAGAAAGATTTGATTTCTCTGCAAAGGAGAATTGCATACTGTACATGCCTCCACCCAATGGAAGCAAAGAAGAAAACGCCATCGTGCAAACAATTCAACCAGATGTGTCCATATATTACAGAGCACCGATAAAATTACCAACTGGCCTTCCTCACACCGGGGAGCTCACCAGCGAGAGCCTGCATACGGAATTGGTACTATAGAAGAAGACAGTGTGTTAGCGATATGATACCAAAAAGCCTCGGGCAAGATGCGGCCATTGGCCGGAGTTTTCCACTCACTCTGTTGATTCTGAAGTCGCGGAAGACACTGCGAGCGGTGCCTGATGCCACACAACGGTTCTTGATCTGCGTGGGGCGAGTGTAGGCGTGCATCTGTGACAATTGGAGCTGAGCCTGCGCGCGGACACGGCCAGAGAGAGAGGTGTTGCGGATCATGTAGCGGAGAGCTTGTCTGCAAAGGAAGACAGAGTCAGCATTCGTGTCTCAATTCCCAGGTTTTCTCAGCTTGGGATATCCATTCTCGGTCAAGCTAGAACATCTAAGAGTAGGACAGGGATCGTACCGTTCGGGCTCAGTCTGCTCGAAGGCCATGCGCTTGTTGTTGTCCCGAATCAAGCGGGTATTGACAAATCCAGAAAGATCAAGCTTCTTGGGCCGGAAAAGGCCTGCCATTTTGGTCATTTTGGCGTGTTTAACTGGGGGTAATTGCGGAGTTGAGGTCGGAAAATGATTGTCCTTCGGCCAGGCGGAGTTGGTGAAAACTGGCTGCCCGATCGGGTTTAGCGTGTTGTATGCAAGATTTCACGCGGAGCGGCATCAAAGTCCTACGTTACTGCTGGTATTTTGATGGATAGCTGTTGCGATCAAGATAAAATGACATGGCATTGAAAGCAAAGGCTAATTTTGACTTATTGCACGGTCGCAAAGACGTAGAAGTCTAGCCCTAAGTTAAATACTGTAGCAATAACCAGATGTGAAGTATAGAGCCCACAAACCCTATAGCTTTACCTGTAATACAACAATCCCCGGAATATTCGGTTCAAGTTACTTTCCTTGCTCTGACTGATGCAATATCATGAAGCAGAAGGGACACTACGAAAGGAAAATGCGGCTTGCTCAGAATAGTACTGGTACAGCTTGTGAATTGATCCAAGTCACCCCCAATCGAGGTGGGTATACTCTATATGCTTGGACAGGGGCAAACTGCCTGCAGAGTAATCACAAAAAATGCAAGCCGGCCATTGATGGCCTGGGCCATCTCCGTCCACCTACACGTCGCGACGGTTCGTCGCGCTCCTCTTCGACGAACAAATGGGATCTCAAAATGCATTCATTGTCGACCCAATTTAGTGATCAGCCTTGCCAGCGGGCTTAGCGTTGGGGTTGCGGGGGTCGTTCTGGTACTGAGCGGCTGTACGGATATGAAGGTTAGTTGTTGATGCTCGCAGACGCTCATCGGAATGTCGTGTTGTGGATAGTGTCGCATGACCCCGAAACTCGTCGATGATTTATGTGTAACTACGCGGAGAGGACTCACTGTTGGACAGAGCGTTCTGAAGAGAGTTGACACCGTAGAGCACAATGAGGCCTGGAGAGGAGAATCGTCAGAGTAATGTTCCATCAACAACCGCTCCGAGCGTGCGGTATTCCGAATTGGCAATCCATTATTTCCGGATCGTCAGGGAATTTCGGGATTTAAAGGGTATGCGTACCGGCAGCGAAGAAGGGAGCCATGGGCTTGGCTGTAAGTGAACATATGTGTCAGTCGTTGGTCCTTATATCATTCTCCCAAAAGTCGTAATCGAGGTTCAAAAAACACGTACCCAAGGCGCCGGGGAACTTCTTTCCGAGGAGAGACATTGTGACAGGTGAATCGAATGCGGAGAGAATTCGGCGTTCGGGAGGATGGTGAGGCAGGAGGACGGAAGAGGAGAAGTGAGGTTTGGGAGGTTTGCCCGGTCCCGAGGCCACGCCGCCTTAAAGGCGGTGTCATGCCGCTTTTACAGCCCGATCTATCCCGACCATTGTAAACAAGCATCTCCAATCAAAGCTTCAAATCACACACTATGGCAGCTTCATTGTCTTCTTCGGTTACCTCCTTGCAGTCCTCTCTTCAGATTTTGGACAACTCTATATCCACCCTCGATGCGGGTGTGAACGATTTCCCTCGTCTATGTAAAGTGCTCCAAACAACGCGAGTATGTTCTTCCAAAGCTTCATTCCAGGAAAGAAACAAGAAGCTATGAATCTAACCACATATTTTTTGATAGCACTTTGAGCTCCTCCCTGAGCCTACATTGCGCGAAGCGCAGCAATCCCTCCTTGACGAAATCACCCCCAGTATTGCCCACCTCCTCACGCTATCATCGAACCACGTCGAAAAGCTTGCGCGCCGCGAACAAGGCCTCAAGGCGAAATGCGACCTGCAGGAAGGTCGACTCTCATCCACGCCCGAGGGCTGGCCATCCGCGACTCGGAGCCAACCCCAAGGCAGTTCATTGCGGGGTCGTTTGGCGGGGTCCGGCGCTGCCTCGTCGAGCAATGCAACAGCATCCAAGGCAGCGGAGCTGAGGAGACTCGTCCAGAAGAAAGAACGGCTCAAGTTTGCAGTTGATCGATTGGAGTTACAGAGCGCGCAGAAGCAAAGGCAGTTGCGAAAAAGTATGGCTGCGCAGTAAATGTAGCGGTGTCACTTCGCAAGATAAGAATATCTGCTATCACGAAAAGCGACTGGCCTGTCAGGAGCTTCTGGTTCCAATGGGACTTTTGCCCGATTTATATCTAGGTCATTTTGACCGAACGCACTTCGCCGACGCTGGGCAGAAAAACACCAACCCTGAAGCCAGCGACTATCTTTCCCTGAGCATCAATGCCTCTCACGCCCGGTACATTTTAAAGAACCCCGTGCTCATTGCAGGGCTCCATTCAGGAAAGGTCTCCGATGACAACCAACGTTTCTTCGGCTTGACACAGTCACCCTAGGTCAAGGCCATGCTTCATCACAGCCGCCTTAGTGGGATCCCTAACAGCCTCCATCAGGACGATCTAAGAGAAAAGGGGGATTTTCTCAGGCTAAATGACGCGTCAGATACTGTATCAATAAAACAAATACATATCAAACATTGATTAGAGTGAGGATGCTATATTTACATCTGTAGAAATGTGAGAATGATATCCTAGTATACAAACAAGATCCAGTCCCCAGTCCCAATGCCAAATGCTGCCAGTTAGTAGTATAGTACATGTTTTCGAACCTCCAAATTCACAACAGAATTGCGCCAAACCAAAGCCACTTATTCGTCGGCAGAACGCTTGTTGGAAGCCTGACGAACCTTCTTTTTATCATTATGCTTCTTCCAACTGGGGATATGCTGGCCCCTCTTCTTGACAGGGACATCAGGAATATCCGAGTCATGAACCCCATATTCTTCATCCTCCTCTTCTCCTTCATTCTCAAAGTCACCCTCTTCCTCGGCGTCACCCTTGGTCGCCGCACGGCGAGCCAGGCGCTCCTTCTTACCCTCACCATGTTTATCGCCAAGGTTCAGGTTGCGCGGGACGCGGGTCTTAGCCCCCAGAGCCCACAGGTCTCCCCAATGAGACTTGCGGGCGTCGCGGTAGGCCTGTCGGCTGTAGGAGCGCGGGACGGTCCAGCGCTCGATTTTTCCGGCGGGTGTGCAGAGATCGAAGGTCACATGGCCGCGGCGTTTCATGGGTGGGTAGATGGCGCGAGGGAGGGATAGAGCGTTGAAGGCTGGCTTGTTGGGGATATCAGACTCCTCGGGGTCCTCGAATCCTTCGAACGCGGCATCTGTAGCCTCAGGACCTTGGCGAATTTCTTGCTCTTGTCGTAGGTCTACGCCACGCTGCACGGCGAGGTAGCTAAATTTGAGATCTTCGTGGTTGCGGTCTTTCGCTCCCATGATGCGCTGTAGGAATGGAGGGCGAATGTATCGCTGCTCGAAATGGCAGTAGTCTCTACGGCCCTTAGTAGCACCCGAAGAATTGTGCATTGGGCAGGTTGAGTGGTTGGTGCAGGGAGCGACGATCATTCCACGCTCTTTCTCAATGACCTCGCGTTCGTCGGGGTTTTCGAGGAAGTTGTCGTATTCGGTAGAGCCGGGGCTTGCGATATGGCGCTTCAAGAGCATTTCACGAGCTCCAGAGATAGCCTCGAATCCCTTCTGGCGGCCCTTCTCGAGGAGAATGAGAATACCCCGTTGGGGTTCAGTAGAGACCACAGATTCTCCACGTGCTGTTTACGTTCATATTCTTCTTCGAGGTTGAGAAGAGAGTGCGGTGCAATGATGACATCGTACTGCTTGCGCTTAGGGGCATCCCGCGAGTCATCAATTGTAGGCTTCTCGCGTACATGGACATAATCAGGTAGCCGTGGGAGGAAGGTAGTGTTGTCCAACATGATAGCAGCGCGCATCCGAAGGGCATCGGAGCCTGTCAACACAGTTGATCTCCCAAAGGGGATGGGGGCTCCCGCGGGGTGATCTGGCACCATGAGATCCCATTCCGCGCGGATGACATCTCTCCAGGCCAGGATGCCGGCACCACCACCGCTGGCATCAAGAACGTTTGGCCCACCCTCTTGTGCGATGAGACGGCGGATCCAATCGGCACCCAATCGCTTGCGAATCTCAACCATAACACTAAGTGTCGACGCGTAGATTCCAGGGTACAAGGCCGCCAAGTATACGTTAGCCTCCATTTCTCCCATTTGACGCTGCGAAGCCTGAAGAGCGACAGGAAGCTGTGGTAATTGGGCACGCGGAGGAGCCGTTGTACTCGAATGGGGCAATCCTGGCCCTCCAAACAGGCGCCGAGCAGCCTCGGAAATATGCTTGTTGGAGAATTCCGACAGAATGACCGATATGGGGCCAGTGACAGTGTCCTTGGGCAGATGGATAGTTGTAGGATCAGTTCCGAATTTGCCCTCGAGAGTGAGCGGATGCATTCTTGGAGCAGAATCAGGAACTGCCTCGTTCTCGAATTCCTCGAGCATAAGTTCGCCGCCCAGCTGCTCTGCCACTTCTCTGGTCCGTTGCATGGCAATTGTTTCCCGCTCTTCCGGAGAAACATCCATATCATAGACGAGTGGAACATCATTCTCCGCTGCGCTTCCTTCGATATCGACTTCCTCCCATCCTCCTTGTCCATCTTCGCGGAGCAAGCTCAGATCTTCCTCTTCCTCTTCAATCACTGACTCAACTTCCTGCCGAATGATTGGTTCTCCATAAAGGCGGGCGTAGATTTGAAGCTCGGCATCATCCAAAAGCCCTTCTGGCACCTCATCTCCAAAGCGCTGTTTAATCCTGTGTACCCATGACTCTGCGGTGTGTTCGTCTCGTTGGCGGATCAAGTCGATGAGCTCGTCTCCTTCGTCCTCCTCGCCCATAATTTCCAGTTCTTCCAATATTTGTACCATTTCCGCCTCATTTTCACCGATTCGATCGATCAGGGTATTGATATCATCCGATTCGATGGATTGGCTGGGTTGAGGTATCGAGTCGGCGGTTGCTGGGCCTGACACAAACCTCCGCTGTGGCTGACATTGTGACGCCGCATATTCGGAAGTATTTCTTCGGTGCGCAGGGCCGTTGGACGTGACCAAAGGCGTCGCTTTTTGCACAAGACTGCGTTGCTGTGTAGGTGTCAAACGGTTGGCATGTCCGCGGAGCTGTCGCAATCCAGATGGGCAGGCAAAGGTGCGAAATAGTTCACGCGATTGTGACCGCCTCGCGCCTGATGCTGAAGACCTGGACAACATTTTCCAGATCTTGTCGACAGTCCCTTTTGAAAGGTTGAAAGAGAAAGAAAGATGACCGAGCCCGGAAAATCGATGCCAAGACGACCATGCGCGCCCATCAAACTGCGGGCCTCTGATTGGCTGGTCCGACTTTGTTCCCTTGGGTCGGTTTTAGCTCGGTGTCAAAGATCTAGTAACATCCAGGCATTTTTATTTTTTTTTAACAGAGATATCCATGGATGTATATGTTGTAGAATAGATGCTAATTGCTTCTGTTGTTATATATTGTACACCCATTTGACAAAGTTCTAGCCCTAGGTAGCTTCAAGATGGCAGATCAATACATGTCTCAAATGACAACCCATTCGATACTACTTCTAAAAGCCCTACCTCGAGTACCAAATCACATCAAGTATTGCAATAAGTAGCTATTCATAATTCAAATGCAGTAGGGTATAAATCAAGCCATTAAGCTTCGCTCTCCGTATCTTCCTCCCCCATGAGCACCCGCAGCGCAGCAACGCAACGCATCACCTCATGCTCAAGGGCCGATAGTTTCGCCATGACTGCCATCAGACTGGGATCTTGGCTCTCCACCCGGACCTTCTCCTTGACACGAACTTCTTCTCCTTGCCATTGAAAAAGGCTACCGGCCTCATCATGGGTTGGCGCTCGCGAGCCGAATATCCGATCTCGTAGAGAGAACCGCGTCAGGGAGATATCCGAAGAAAAAGCGGTTGGCGTGTGATTAAGGGCAGTAGGCTCTAGAGTCCGAAGAAGAAGAACTAGGGCGGAATCTGTGATAGAGAGATGGAATGAAAGGTGTGGCGGAAGCGGAGGGTCAAACATCTGTGCAGCATACATATCAGCAAAATATTGCAGGACTTGTGTGTCAAAGAAATCGAACATACATTTTCGGTTGCAGAGGTATCCCACCACTTGCCTCGCGTCTCATCGCCTTCTCCTTTTAACATTTGTCGCGCCTCACTGATGGTCTCGAGCAAGAGGTGTAGTTGGCTGAAAATAAAGCCTGCGTTGAGAGGATCGCCTGTCCATGTGCTCACATCCACAATATCCAGACTCTGAGCCACGAGATCTCGAACCGATACCAGTTGTCGAAGAACCAGTTCCGGAGCTCCAGGGGACTGAGATAGGTTCAGTCGGGTGCTAGGGGCACCCCGAGGAGGCGGGAGCGACGTAAGACGAAGTTGGACATCCTGGAGAGGGATTGGGTTAGTTGCATATTCATTGGGAAATACTCGGGATACATACGCCCTTCACGACCTTGGTGCCGATTCTAGTCACGAAGCCCTTCACATTTTCCGACCGCAGCGAGGACAGTACCAAGGTTGATCCCGGTTCTTGGGGAGCTAGGAGGGCAGCGCATTCTTGGAGACCTTCCTTCAATGAAGCAAGTGAATCCTGCAACGAATGCAAGAGCCACTCTAGCTCTCGGGCCTAAGATAAAAATGTTGGCATTATACTAGAGAAGATCCACACTCCAAGGATCATAGCTACAGCCCACCAGATCTCCGTGTAGAGATCGCCTGCTATAAGGGTCCATATATGTTTTACATACCAGCGCAGTGTCCGCCTCACGGTTGATCTGCTCTGCGGGCAGTGGGGGGTATGCCCAGGTCGCCATTACAACGTTGTACGGGGTGGGAGGTTCGCAGTGTGTACCCTCGGTCGAGTCTGGGGATCGGGTTGGGCAAACAAGGTTTTTTTTTTTTCTTCCGGTAAGGTGCAAAACTGGATAAGACAAAAAAAAACGTTAATATTTGATGGTCCACGTCACTTTTCTTCCATAGGACCAATGTTGTTGCGAGAGGTGCAACGTCGTTTCATTTGGGCGTGCTCGTTGACTTCGTCATGGACCGCTCAGACTAACCCGATATGGCCATAACGCCTAAAGTAAAGTGTACGCTAACTACGAACAGCTAGCCGATCAGGTGCAACTATGACGTTGTGATCGTCGATACTCTTAAGTTTTGTAGAGAAGAAGAAGAGAGGAGGATGATGCTCACTCGTCATTATATCACACTGGCCAATGGTCCCGGATACCCCGGCTGCTCTTGCATGCTTTATACCAGCTAGCGTTTTCCACTTCAAATTCCGACACCTTCTTTCATCTCTTGACACTCTCCTTGTGCAACCCATTCCCTTTCAAGATACGAGACAATCAACCTTGAGAAAAAGGAAGAAAAAAAGCCCCTCAGTCAAATTCTAGTGTGTGACCTACAATAAGTACCAAACAAAATGGGTCTCAGCAGTACGTCGACCGATCCCTGATCAACAAATCTATAACACCTTAATCTGACTATCATCTATAGGAGCAACATTGGGCTTCACGGGCCTGTTTTTCATGGCCGGGTCGATTTTACTGATCTTCCTCACTTTGCTGGGAGGTGCACGCGACAGCAATCCGTTGAACCGAGTTTACTTCCTCCAGGCGGACACGGGAAATATTCCAGGCGCACCATCAACCTCGCGTTGGACATTCTGGAACCTCTGCGGAGTGAAGGACGGCAAGAATGACTGCGGAGATACCCATGTGGATTTCCCATTTGACCCCCCAAGCCACCGTAACTTCGACACGACCAATAATGTCCCTAGTCAGTTTATCGGGTAGGTGACCAACTGATATATCATGATTTTCCGAGTCGCTCTAACCATACCTATGCTATAGAACAAACCACTACTTCTTGATGTCACGGTTCATGTTCCCCTTCATCATCATCGGTCTGTTCTTCGCCGTGTGCTCTTTCTTCACTGGTATGCTGGCCATCTGTACCCGCGTTGCCAGCTATCTCTCCGGTTTCCTGGCCTGGATCGCTCTGACTTTCCAGGTCATCACGACCTGTCTCATGACGTATGTATATCCACAATTGGAACTGGGGTTGTTCCAGGAACAAAATGCTAACTATATTTCATAGTGCTGTCTTTGTCCAGGGCCGCCACGCGTTCAACAGTAACGGCCAGAAAGCATCCCTCGGTGTCAAGGCATTCGCCTTTATGTGGACCGCATCTGTCTGCCAGTTCCTTTCGTGCTTGTTGTACTGCCTCGGTGGTGCCGTTGGCCGGAAAGATACTAGCAGTGGGTACAGTGGACGCAAGGAGCGCCGCCGTGGTTTCTTCTCCTCGCAGCGCTCAAACAGCGTGAAAAGCCAGAAGAAGGAAGCCACGAACTACGCTTAAATGGATGTATCGTGACCGTGAGAAGCCTGCTCCCTCATTTCGACAAGAACAAGCCGGAGCACCTGAAAATGTCGACATGAAACTGTCGATCTCCGGACTATCCCACACATGACTTTGTCTTCCTGCGTTGATACCCCCCTTGAGAGTTTATTCTTTCTTCGGGAGGCCGCTTGTTTCAACTGGATCTCATCGAACTGTAACTGAATGACCCGGATGCAGCTTGAAAGATCGAACTACTCACACTCGCTTGATGCTATTACGAACCCCTCACGATCTTTATTCATCTAATCAATCTGCGGCCTTCTTGCATAAGGTGGCAATTGAGCATTCTTCGCGCAATACTCTCCCTGCCTTAGGTCCGGTTATGTTTCTTAAGGCACAAGCGTCTTTGATGATTTGTTGATGAATCCCATGGTTCAACGATTCTCCGTTTTGAAGATCATACAGGAATTTGTGCTTTGAGTTGAGAACCTATTTAATCTAGTTGTAATATAATTTTTACTACCGTTACCTGATTCTTGGAATGTAAATTGTATACAGTCATATATCTTGAACTCACAGGTAACCACGCTTTAGAGCATCAGGATTCTCAATGAATATATAGTCCTCGGAGAGCAGCAGGACTAGCGTAGATTAATATGTCGGAAGGCCTAGCAGAGTGAAGTTGGCCAGAAAAGGGAACCAGTATCGATTGGTTGCATATAACTGAGTCTATTTAAGAACTAATAAAGGGAAAGACTCCATGATGATAACTGCAGTATAAATCGTGGACAAAAAGAAAAATCACAACCTCTATCAGTCATGCATGCATCATCACACCATAAACGAAAGCCAAGTTTTTTTTATTTTTATTCGCAAGGAAAAAAAACTTAAGCGGAGCCATTGACGGCGCCACGGACAGCGTTCTGGGAGCCGACCTCGCGGACAGCGATCTGCAGACCGAGATCGGGGTTGACGTGGACCATGACCTCAATCTTGCTGCCAGCCTTGACGCCCTTGACGGCGAGCTCAGCAACGGGCTTCTCGGTCTTCCAGACAATCTCGCGGATCTCTTCATCATCCTCATCCTCGGAATCGAAGTCAGAGTCATCCTCATCCTGAGCGGGCTTGTCCTCCTTAGCCTTGGGCTCAGGCTTGGTGACCTTGATCTCACGGGCACCCTCGCACACGCGGACCAGGACATCGCCACCCTCCTTGGGGGCGAAGTACTGAGCGATGCGGCGGGCAGGGAGAGCGGTCTCGGCGCCGAGGAGGGGTTGGAAGGTAGTCTCGGTCTGGGAGGTGAACTCAACGCCAATAGCCTTGGTCAGGTGAGGGGTGACAGTGACCATAGGGTGGATGGACTGCTCAATGTCCTCGTGCTCGAACTCCTGGATCAGGGAAGCCTGGAAGGCAGCACCACGGGCAGACAGCTCGGAGGGGTTAACGGCAGTGACAGAGGTGGCGGGAGCAAGGATCTTGGTCTTCTCGGGGAAGATGTTGCTGGCCAGGCTGGCGAGCTTGGGGGTGTGGGAAACACCGCCAGAGAAGATAACCTCATCGATATCAAGGACATCGAGCTCGGCCTTCTTAACAACCTGCTCGATCAGAGCAGTGAACTGGCCGAAGACCTTGCCGGCGAGAAGCTCGAAACGGGTGCGGTTAACGGTGGAACCGTAGTCAACACCGTCAACCAGGGACTCAATGCTCAGCTGAGCGTTGCTGCTCAGACTGAGGGCCTTGCGGGTGGCCTCACACTCGAGCTTCAACTTGGCCAGACCACGAGCGTTCTCGCGGGGGTCGGTCTTGTGCTTCTTCATGAACTCCTTGGCGAAGTGATCAAT